CTTAGTTTGGTTGCGTGGTGTCAGACACAGACTGAAGTATCTGAGGACTATTTAAGTGCCAACAGTATCGCTAGTCAAGTAGCTCCATCATGCAGCGATAATGAGAGCCAAACCTTTGACACTGAAAGCATCGACTCCGGAATTCAAGTAAAATTCTGTTCCACACAATGATTATTTTTCAAAGTTAAAAAACAATTTTCGGGCATTGGTTTACAAGTTTGAATAGACCCACATTATTGAAAAATTAGTAGACAGAACCTGCAATTAATATCTTTTAAAATTTTAAAAGTATTCGTTCTTGAAAGTCACTGGTAGATATTTAGGTATGCAGTTCAGTAGATGATATGAGCACCCAAATAGACATTGAATGGACCGAAGAAGGCACACAATACGATCGTCTGCAGGTACGTACATTATATTCTCTTAAATATAAAGAAAGTGGTGTCCGTTAAATTATAACTGATTAACTTTTTGTTCTGTCGTTTACTTGCTTCTCAGTTTGCAAAAAAAAAAGTTTGGTTTACTAAATTAACCCATCTATCTAGGAATTCATGCAAAATATCGCGATACAAAATTGTATACCTGTAAAAAACAGCGGAGTACAACCTGAACTGTCCAGGTAAAAAAAAAATTTATTATGCAGTTATATATAACGTCAAGTCTCAAAGCAGTCAACCACGCACTTTTCGTTTATACACTTCTCCATAATTTTTTTCAAAAAAAAACTGAATTAATTATAGCCTAATCTTATTGGATTATGATGAAGAAACCGACGAAGACCTCATGTACGAACAACAAAAAGAACAGTTTGCAGAGAAGTTTGAGGACAAACAGATCATAAGAACAGAAAGCAGCGAACAAGACGTGCACCTAAAAATGCCGGAAAAGCAGTTTGCTGAAGAAATAACTACCATTCAGCCTGAAAATATTGTGCAGGAAAGCTTGTTAAAATCATCATCGAGACCCATACAGACGGCATCTACAGTGGAAACATTACCATCAAAAGGCAAAACCAAAGCTTCATTAATGCCTGGAAAAGAACAAGAAACAAATTCTCGCTATCTGCGGAATAGAGGTAATCAAGTAAGTAGTTGCCTTACCTGCAAAACAATTGCACAGCAATACTGACTAGACACAAAATTAAAAAAAACGATCGACTGATCATATGAGATGTCACAGAACAAAAAAAATGATATAACATCTTTAGCACACAAATAATTTCACCGGTCATTAACAATACTTCGTCAGTACACAATACTTAGTATCAAAAGTTTTTTTCGTAGTCACATTCCATATTAAACCACTGTTAACATCTAATTAAGTAAAAAAAAAA